CTCAACGATCCACCGAACTCGCGAAATATCCACCCTCGCGACAACACCCGCGACACGCGTGCACGTTTAAATCCACACCGATTTAAAGGCCCGCGACGAACACGTGCGACACCGCCGCCGCCGCGCGCGCCCCGCGCCACCGAACTGCGCACCGCGATCAGTATCGCGTCGACCGCCCGAGCGATCTCTTATTTTGTATTCACGCATTATCCGCGCGCCGATCGCCGTCTCGCCCGTCCACGGCCACGAACATTAAACGCGACGATTCGGTGCATTCCATCGCACCACTCTTAGTCAAATAAACATCGTTATTTATTATCATTCTCGCCTAACAATTTAATCACGCCTTTCTGTCTCCAACGTCCTCGCTTCTCCTCCTGGTAACCGACTGACCGCTCTCCGCGCGGAAAAGCGAGACCGTTTTACAGTTGAAGACAAATGTAAGAGGATAATCATTATTTAGCAAAAGATATAGACATAATTAATTTTAGGTTTATATAGACATAATTAATTTTAGGTTTATTCTGATGCTATTGAAGGTGTGATAAGGAGAAGATTCTATTTACTAAACCAAAAACCATGCCTTTCTTTTGGGACAGAGGATGTTGAGAGTGATAATTTAAGAACTTGCCAGAGAAAGTTGGCTTATGGTATCAGTCAAAATGAATAACGTTATTAGTAATTTTCGTGGTAACTTCCAAGAAATTTAACTCTCGTCCACCCACTTCACATGTGAAATTGTAGTCTTGAGTGGAAAGAGTTGAAAATCCTAAGAGTATTTTCAATCCTGTTGGAACAACTGGTCAAAGCGATATCGTCAACGTCATCGGAAATAAAATGGTAAACCTGTGTCAATCATCTCGATAGCCCTCTCCCTCCCTCATCAAATCAGCTATAATTGGGGACAACGGAGAATCCATAGGTAGACCGAAAGTCTGTTTGTAAATTTGACCGTCAAGAATAAAATAGGTGGAGTGTAAAACCAAAGAGACAGCTTTAAGAAATTCTTCTTTTGGGATATCACATAGACAATATGGCGCTATATTATTCCACGTTTGGAGATGCTGTCCATAACCAAATCTAGCGGAACATTGGTGAACAACGATTTAACATCTAACGAAATTAATGAGTAATTATCATCAATCTAACACTCCGTTAATTGTTCAATTAATTGAAAACTATTATCTATATGACTTTTCGGAATGCTCTTCATCATGATTCTATTAAGTGTTGATGCCAATGTATAAAGCGGGCTATCAATGCATGATACGATTAATCTAAATGAGCAACCCTGCTTGTGTATTTTAGGAAGACCATATGCTCTAGGTAATAACCCATCACTACATGCTAAATGGTTGAAAAATCCGTCTGATATAACCAGAGGTCTTCCAAGATTTAAGTAGATCACATAAATTTTTTGTTATAATCTTGGTCGGATCTTTGCTAACTTTGATGTAAGTGTTTGTATCTTCTAGCAGGACATTAACATTAAAGAAATACATGTTTCTATCAAGTGTCACTGTAACATTGCCTTTATCAATTCAAGTAAATAAGATGTTAGGATTATGTTTAATAAAACTAGTACTCTGATATAAGTGTAATAATCTCTTGTTAATAATATTTTTTTGAGGGATGAAAGAAGAAGTGTTGTTAATTAGAGGTATCTGTTTCTTGAATCTGTTTCTTAGATGTAATTGTATATTCTGTGGGAATTTTTTGATGTTTTTTTCTACATTCTTTATTGTTTCAATTATCATTTTTTTATTATTTCTATTCGGTAATGCAAAATTTTCTTCCAATTGTAACAAACATTGTACATCATCTGGAATGTATACAGGGGCTAAGTTAAGAAACTATTTATCTTTGAGTGTATTCAAAGAACTAGTAATGATATTGGTAAAAGCTTCTGGATTAAGTTGTATTTCATACAATTAATAACATTATTAGGAGAAGAGTTTTTTGTATTGTGGAAGGAGAATTTAGGAGGATTGGACTCAGAAGTGGAGGGGGAGGAAATCGAATTGCTGGCACAAGATGTTGTTAAACTACAAAACAATAATACGCTAAATCTACAAACGGATACAGAATGTCTTCATCATGCTTATGTCTCTGTTCTTGACAAATTATAATTTTATATATAATTCTTGACCTCTGGCTTGTTTTTTATTTTTAACTTAATTCCTTTCACATCACGATTGTCGATTTCATACAGTATATGACTGTATTTTAACTGATACATTTTTAATAATGATACCTGTAGTTTTAACATTTCTATAACGTTTCTAATTTTTTTGTATTTACACGATCTACCATGTATAGCTTGGCTTTAATGTGGTGAGTAAAGAAATTTTATATTACTTAAAATTATTAGAATTTGACTCCAATCATATTCGTGTGCCGCTTTATCAGGGACAAGACGGAAAGATTTATTCCCTCACACGACTTGGCAACCGTCGTGAGCGATACACTTTTTATTAATCACATTATAGTTTAGCGTCTACTGACCAATATTATTTATCACTGAAGATGGCTCAATACGAGAACCGAAACATTTGATTTGAATAAAGAAGATTTCTTAATCAAGAAGATTTATAAAGTTTATTGCGTATTGTTTATCGCGTGTTTTCTCATTGCTTGTTCGTTAACATTTATTATTATTACATTACATTTATTTTTACATTTATTATTATTTTTATTTATTTTTTTTATTTATACATTTATTATTTATTTATTTATTTCGTACATATTTTCGGCGCTGCCAAAGATGTCCCTTCCATAATTTTAAAATTCTATAATAAATATCTGTATATCTTTTATAATTTCTCTTTCATTTCTCCAGCAACACTTTTCTAGCGTTACTATAAGTTCAACTTGGGGCCTCTTTTACCGGGAGCATCCTGTTTGACCATGTCCCGATTAATCACTCACAGGGGCCGGTGCCTAGAATTTTTCCACTGTTCAAGCGCTGTGAGTGGCTAGTGGTCAATCGGGACGTCAAACAGATGTCACCCTTTTCATCAATCTTCGGTTAAACTAACTGACGGTTAACTCGACCATCATGATTGCCAACAACTAAGAACTAAACTGTTTATTGTAGATAAGTGTTAAAATTTTTATTTAAGCGAATGATTGACTATAAAAATTTTTATTTACATTAAGTATCGAATATTATTTACAATTTCATCTACCTACCAAGATACCTACAACACGAAAAGAATATTAAGTTAAAGAACATACACTACTTTCTGAGCATTGAATTACAGTTGGCACTCTTGCGGGTTAATCGTCGGTTATTTTAACCGAAGATTGGTGAAAGAGGCTCTTGTGCTCGTTTCTACCAACGTAGTTTAAAGAGTCAATCCCTAGACATTTTGTTAACCAAAGTTTAACGAAATATTGATTTCAACCAATAATTTGCTCAAATTTAAACTTATGTAAACTGAATTCAATTTAAACGGCCGATTTTGGTCGTTTAGAAGTAGTTAAACTGTGGTTAAAAAATATAACTAGTAATTTTAGATATGGCACATTATAACGTTATATTATCGTTCTCGAATGACGAAGATATTATTGAACAGAAGAGAATTAATCAGTATGCAAATCATAACAAAGAAATTGTTGATGTGGCACGAATAGCAATAATTTATAATTATTTTGCCAAGTAAAGTTTTTATCTGAAAATTTTTATTTAATATTTTCTTGGTTTAGTAGATTAATATCCCTAATAGCACTCGTCTATTCCGAGAACGTTCCACGGGATATCGTATAAGTATATTCGAGATATTCTCCGAACATTTGAAATACGTACTGCGATATATTATGGAATGTACTTAGATCGTTATTATCGCTTACTAACCTAATTCCTAATACTGGATCTCGCAGTATGGTCATAGGATGAAAACGATTTAAAAACAGTATATCATGTAGGGCATACATAAGGTAT